CAGCTTTTTTCTTTTTGCTTATGTGGTGCTGAGGAATCGAACCCAGGGCCTCAGGCATGCAAGGCAAGCGCTCTACCACTGAGCCACCTTCCCAGCCCTGATACCTTTGTTTTTAACTACATAATTATCACAGAATTTCAAAGAATGAGATGATCATAATCATTACGCACCAAAAAATGGCTGAATAGTTATAATTTTAAAATATTTTAAGTATGGTAAATGGAACTGTGGCTCAAGTGGTAGAGCTCCAACCTTAGATATAAAATCTAAGGGAGAGCACCCAGTCCCTGAGTTTGAGTCCTAGTATAGGCAAAAAAAGAAAAAAGAGAGGGAAGGAGGGAGGAAGGGAATTTTTCACTCAAGGTTGGCATTCTACCACTTGTGTCGTATCTCATACCTTAAGACTCATGCTTTTTCACTCAAAGCTAGTGCTCGTACCATTTTGAGCCACAATGTCACTTCCAGTTTTCTGGTGGTTAACTGGAGATAAGAGTCTCAGACTTTTCTAACCAGGCTGGGTTCCAACCGTGATCCTCAGATCTCAGCCTCCCAACTAGCTAGGATTAGAGGTGTGAACCACTGCCCTGTACTCAGCTGCCTTTTTTGGGGGGTGGGGAGGGGGCGCGCTGGTCCTGTAGCTTGAACTCACGGCCTGGGCACTGTCCTTGAGCCTCTGTGTGCTCAAGGCTAGCATTCTACCACTTGAGCCACAGCACCACTTCTGGCCTTTTCTGTTTATATGATGCTGAGGAATCGAACCCACACTCTCATGAACACAAGGCAAGCATTCTATCACTAAGCCACATTCCCAGCCCCCTCAGCTGACATTTTTAGAAACAAATTTTCATGTTCAAATTTTCTATTAACTCATTCAGCAACCCTTCAAGCCTTTATACAACTGAAGAGTTACTGGGCTTGCTTCTGAATTAAGTTCTAAATTAGGAAATTTGGCTAAGACCACTAAGCCTTTCTCCTTACAGCAATAGTGTGGTTTGCTTTATCGCTCCTGTGTTCCAAATAGAAGTTACTTACCTCCTTTGCACCAGATTCTTTAAGTAATTTTATTATGGGTGAGATGGTATTGCCTCTTACAATTGAGTCATCTATAAGAACAATTCTTTTGCCTTTAAAATTGTCTGATAATACTCCAAACTTTTTTGCCACACCAAGTTGTCTTAACCTCATGTTTGGCTGAATGAAGGTTCTTCCTACGTAACGGTTTTTACACAGCACCTCCACATATGGAAGTCCACACTGGCAAAGAAGAAATAAAAATGGACAATGAGCAGCAATATTTGGAAAATTCCAGGCTCCCATTTTCTTCTCTAGCTTTCATTGCTACTTTAATATGTGAAACTTCAAATTTTGATGTTATTCTGAATTTACCATTACCAGAATAAATTTTTTCCTACCATTTAACCTATTTTTATGAGAGTAGAATGAGATTCCTTTTAGATTTTTGCAATGTTCACATCTGCAATGGACATCTTGGGGATGGGAGCCAAATCTAAACATGAAATTTATTTATGATTGGTAGACTCCTTGTACACATACCTTAAGGTAATTTATACATCACTTTTAGTGTGTCTGAGTTTTGCCAATGACTAGGTATTGGAAATTTCCATTTGTGGCATTAGATTGGTGGTCAAAACTTTTGGATTTTGGATTAAGTGTGCTCAATCTGTAATTTTACTAAATTCATTATATATTCATGATATTATTATTTTTTTTTAGGGGAGAGCGCGCACGCAGTCCCCCACTACCACAAATTACGCAGTCGAGTTTCCCCTATGTGGAGAAATCGCAGGAGTCAGCGCGCCCCAAGTGCAATGGACGCGCCTCGTCCTGAGAAAACCACCTGCATGATCATGGTGTTTCCTCTGCCAGGTAAGTATGTCATGATATTATTTTAAAAAAAGGAGTAGGCCAACATATGCTAGTGTTTAGGTGAAGTTTTTCGTGGTCTTCAGAAGACTGCTATTAAATGAAAAAGTTAGTAAGTAATTCTTGCAAAGAAAATATACTCCAAGCCTTCTTTTCTCCTTACAGTAAGTTAATGAATTTCTCTTTATAGGCCAAGAATTCTTACTCTACTAAGAGAATAATTTACTGCATATAAGAGAAAATACCTTTGCTGCGTAACCAAGAGCAGCGGGTGTAGCAGATTCTGGAACAGTGCTAACCATGTCTGCATCCACAGGGGCTTCAATTGCCAGCTGCTGACCACAACGGTATCTGACTGTATAAACCATTTGCTCTGGTGGGTTTGAAAAAGGAAACAGATTATTTCTACTTGGCTATTCTAAAAGGCTAGTGATAGAATTCTACATAATGAGTCTAAAAAGAAAAGCAATATTAAACAAAGTGGAAACTAGGGATTCATTGTATGGTACATCTAAAACCTGATCTAAATGCAGTCCGAAAAGTCAATCCTGATTCCTAAAAGAAAATCAGATCTAGAGTTCAAGGGAAATAGTGACCTTATTATTTGCAGGATAACTAATATATGTATAATATATAATTATGTGCCTCCCAAAAGACATGGGAGCACATGGAGTCAGGAACTGCCATGTTTCAGTGAAGCAAATAAGAGGTTTACATTAGCAGTCAAAGAAATGAAATTTCCTTACCTTCAAAGATGCTATCTGGTCTTGCAAAATAAACATATTCAAATATACAAAAAGCCACTGGGTTTCCTTCAGACCTTGAAATAATGTCAAGAGTTCGGACATTATGTCTGGATATTTCCACAATTTCCCCAGGCAAGACTTCCCGGCAATATCTTGAAAAACAATGTTAAGACAAAAGAATTCTAATAAATCAGTATTTAAAGCTGCTAATAATTATAAAACACAGTCTCTGTTACACAAAGAATAGATTCATTTAAGTTTAAGATGGCTTGAAAAAGAGAGAAAAGGGCCAGATACTGGTGGCTCACACCTGTAATCCTAGCTACTCAGGAGGCTGAGATCTGAGGATCACAGCCCAGGTAGGACAGTCCTTAAGATGCTTACATCTCCACTTAATCACCAGAGAACCAGAAGTGGTGCTATGACTCAATGTGGTAGAGCACTAGCCTTGAGCAAAAGAGCTCAGGACAATACCCAGGTCCTATTCAAGCTCCATGACAAACGAAGAAAAAAAGTATGTATGTATGCTCATAAACCTATTTTGTAAAACAACAAAAGGAAAACATATGCCTTACTTATTAAGTTCTTTAAATTTTTCTGTTATCTTTAAGTTCTAATTAAGAATCTTTAAAATACCCTGCTTTTTAATTTTTGAAAAAGCAAATGATAGGAGGCTGGGAAGGTGGCTCAGTGGTTAAAGCGCTTGCCTTGCATGCCTGAGGCCCTGGGTTCAATTCCTCAGCACCACATAAGCAAAAACAAAAAAGCCGGAAGTGGCGCTGTGGCTCAAGTGGTAGAGCACTAGCCTTGAGCTGAAGGGCTGAGGGACAGCGCCCAGGCCCAGAGTTCAGGCCCCATGACCGGAAAAAAAAAAAAAAAAAAAAAAGAAAAAGAGAGAAAAGAACTGAGGGGATGGGATATGTGGCTCAAGTGGTAGAGCACTAGCCTTGAGCTGAAGAGCTGAGGGACAGCGCCCAGGCCCAGAGTTCAGGCCCCATAACCGGACCCAAAAAAAAAAAAAGAAAAAGCAAATGATAAAGAGGGATGAGACTGAAGGAAATAACACAGATCAAGATGCAATGTATTCATATACTGTTTTGTTAAATGACATCTCTCTTATACAACTAAATAAGATAAAAATAAAAAAAGAAAAGTAGTAAAGAAAGTATTTTTTTGGGGGGGGGGTCCAGTCATGGGGCCTAAACTCTGGGCCTGGGCGCTGTCCCTCAGCTCTTCAGCTCAAGGCTAGCGCTCTACCACTTGAGCCACAGCACCACTTCCGGCTTTTTCTGTTTATATGATGCTGAGGAATCGAACCCAGGGCCTCGTGCATGCAAGCCAAGCGCTCTACCACTGAGCCACGTTCCCAGCCCCTCTTTTGGTATTTTGAAAGAAAGATGACACTTTAGAGCTGAGCACTGATGGCTCATGCCTATAATCCTAGTTACTCCAGAAGCTGTGATCTGAGGATTGTGGTTCAAAGCCAGCCTAGGCAAAAAAGTCCATGAGATTCTAACCTACAATTAACCACCAGAAAACTGGAAGTGGCACTGTGGCTCAAGTGGTAGAGTGCTTGCCTTGAACTTAAGAGCTCAAGGACAGCGCCCAGGCCCAGAGTTCAAACCCGACTCCTGCCCTCCCAGACCAAAAAAAAAAAAAAGATAATACTTTAATGATCAGGAGGTGGTGTTATGGGACTATTTAAGCCATACAACTGCAGAGCACAATGAATGTAACAAAGCATTTACAAGTGCTTTCTTACAAATTGCATCAGTGAAAATAATTTTGGGTAAATATCAAAAGAGGGCCAGGTGGGCTGGGAAGTTGGTTCAGTGGTAGAGTGCTTGCCTTGCATGCCTGAGGCCTTGGGTTCGATTCCTCAGCACCACATAAGCAAAACAAAAAAAAAGCCGGAAGTGGTGTTGTGGCTCAAGAGGTAGAGCGCTAGCCTTGAGCTGAAGAGCTGAGGGACAGCTCCCAGGCCCAGAGCTCAGGCCCCATGACCAGACCCCCCCCCAAAAAAAAGAGGGCCAGGTATAATTGTTTATTCCTATAATCTCAGCTACTTGGGAAATAGAGACAGAAGAACTGCAGTCTGAGGCCAGCATGAATAAATAGCAGGACCCTATCTCAAAAGCCAGGTAAGGTGGTTCATGTCTGTAATTCTAGTCATATAAGTGGCATAGGTGGGAGGACTGGGGCACAAGACATTTTCTTAAAAATCAAGTAAAAATAGGCTAAGGTAGAGCAACTGCCTGTGAAGCATAAAGCCCTAAGTTGTACCACTTAAAAACCATAATTTTTCTTTTCTTTCTTCAGTCATTTGCTTTTTTAATTTGAGACAAGTTTGCCCAGATCAAATTCCTACTCAGTAACGCTTCCACCCCAGCCTCCTGGGTGTACAACTATATGAGTTTGTTATCTAGTATGAAAACAACCTTTTTTGCTCTTGCTCCTGTTATACATATAACTCAGGTTGGCCTCAACCTCAGGATCCTCCTTCCACACTATCAAAGTACTGGGATTGTAAGTATGAGCCACTATACTTGGCTAAAAATTTCTTAACCATGTAGAAAAACTTAGTATTGAAGTGATACTTACCTCGCACCAATAGATAAAAAGCTACATGATTCTGAGGACACCACCCATCCTTCAGTTTCAGATGTTTTCTTTCCTGTACATCACAGGACAAAGAGGTAATTTCAATACAACAGTTAAACATTAAATAAATTAAAAAACTAACAGCTACAGAGGAGGCGGAGGTCCAAAGCAGCCCAAAATTAGCATAAAATCCTGTCTGTAAACCAACCCAAAAATAAAAGGACTGAAGGTGTGGCTCAAGAGGTGTAGCCCTTGGCCTGGTAAACATGAGGCTCCAATCCCCAGTACGGAAAAAAATGAAAGAAAAAAAGGCAAAAAATAAATAAATAAAGGCACATAATCCTCATTTGAAGTAAGTTACATATAACATAAAGAATTCGAATCCTTTCTAGTATTATGATCTTATGGTTTCAGTAAGACATGACTTGATAAGGCAAGCTTGACTAATTAAAAAAGAAAACCACTAACATATGTAAAAATAAGGATTCTACTAAACTTTTTAAAAGAGACCTATCCCCATATGTAGTCAGGGAAATGTTCTTTGTTGTATATATGCATGTGTGTGCACGTGGGCGCGCGCGCGCCTAAATGTGTCAATACTGGGTGGGGGCTCAAGGCATCACACTCTCTGACTTTTTTGCTTAAGGCTGGTGTTCTATCGATGGAACTATGTCTCCCTCTTTTTGGTGATAAAGAGCCTCACAAGCAGTCCAGGGTGCTTTCAAACCTCAATCCTCAAATCTCAGCCTTCAGAGTGGATAGGATTACAGGTGTAAGCCACCAGCACACAGCTACAGAAATGTTATTTTAAAACTAAGAATGCCATTTTCTTCTTTTTCTGGTACATTATACTTAAAGATTTCAGGACTATACACTAATTATAACGACTTTAAACAGCATTATGAAAAGTACACCCCCATAAAGGAAAGAAAATTACTTTCCTTCTGAGGTTTATTACCTTTATCATTTATATCAGAAACCGGAATAAGACGACCAATGCATAGAGGACGATTTCCGTAAGGATCCCGTACTGCATAAATAACATCTCTGTGCATTATAATCAGGGAGTATGCTGTGGGTGCTTCCTTCATTAAATTTTTAATCCTGGAATTAAGTAACTCAATGAATCACAGCAGCAAAGCAAATCACATACACAAAGCAAAGCTTTTACTACCAGAGTGGCTAGTATAATCGTTTTACAATTACCTTGCTACCCAGTCTGGGGTGTCATCTCGTTCCTGAGGTGGGGTATATGCCAGTAACTGGGTAATCATTTCACTGTCAGAGCTTGTTGACAGACCAATGCCATGACGCAGAAGCTATACAAAAGAGAGATGCCATCAGAAGGGTATTCCCCATCTTCCTCTCACTCAATAGCCCGCCTAGGAAATCAGGTAATTTGTAGGCAGTTATGAAAACCCTGCACCCTATTAATATATATGGATATTAGTAGAAATTGTCTCTGGAGGTTTTCAAACTGAAAATTACAATCAAAAATTGCCTCTAGAGATATAAAGAAAAGGTGTTTTTGTTGTTTTGCCAGTTTCATCTTTTATTTTAAACTAAGCTCCTCTGCAATGTACTAGGAGTTTCTGTATTTGTCCAGAACAAACATAGGCAACCGCATTTCACTCCCAAATTAAAACTGAAATCAAACAGATATTGTTAAATATTATAGGTAATAAGCCCAAATAACATACTATCCACAAGAGCTCAAGAATCCAACTACCAAAAAACATTGAAAGATTAAGTTTAGAACTAACACACAGAATTGAAAGGGAGGATGAGGGTTGAATTGTGGGACTTTTCTTACCCTTAAAAATCCTGACCACTGGCTGGGAATGTGGCTTTGTGGTAGAATGCTTGCCTAAGAATGCATGTATTAAGCTCTTGGTTCTATTCCTCAGTACCACATAAGCAGAAAAGCTAGAAGTGCTGAGGCTCAAGGGATAGAGTGTTAGTCTTGACCAAAATAGAAGCTCAAGGAGTTCAAGTCCCAGGATTGGAAAAAAAAAGTCCTCACGAACCCAGGCACCGGTGGCTCATGCCTTTAATCCTAGTCAGGAGATTGAGATCTGAGGATCGAAGTTCAAAGACAGCCCAGGCAGGAATGTCCATGACTCTCATCTCCAATAAACTATTCAGAAAAAAAAAAAGCCAAAAGTGGCACTGTGGCTCAAGTGATGGAATACTAACCTTGAGCACAGAGCAGCTCAGGGATAGTGCCCAGGCCCAGAGTTCAAGCCCCAGACCCAGCACAAAAAAAAAAAAAAACAAACCTGACCAATAAATAGGACACATTTCTTGTACAGTGGTATACTATAGTGATAACTCAAAATGAATTTGTTGGTAGCAGTGATGATAGCTTCCTATCCTCTGTTATGATTGACAAGTGTTAAGAATCAACTATATTAACAAGTACTAAAGATGTGATAACACTGGTTACTTGTACTCAACTGGCAATTAGAAAGTTCTGAACAGGAGCAGCACTACAGACAGGCCCAGAATGACTTAAGTAGATACTACAGAACATTTTCAGTTGACAGCTAAATGTGCAGATATGAAGTCTAACATCTGAGTAAAGGGTATGTTTAGAATTGAACTCTTGGTTATTATCTTTAAGTGGTGAACTTATAGTAATTTACTTCATAGTTCTACTATTGTGATTGCCTGAGTTATTGAAATGAATTAATTATACTTTTATCATTTGTGAGTAGAAAATAATGTGTACTAATCATAATGTTATAGCCTATAAAGAAGGCATATCATGAAACAGATTAATACTCCTTAAAAGTGTCTGGTTAAAGGACAAACATTATATATATGTGTGTTAATTTCATCACAGATGTTTGTTACAAGCCTGGGTTAATGTTTTTCTGTGTGTGTTCATGCACGCGCGATCCAGTATTGGCATTTGAACTCAGGTTCTTGAACTTTTGGTTCAGTTTCCTGGCTCATAGTAGGAACTCCACTACTTGAGACATGACCCTAGTCCAACCATTTTTCTGGTTATGGAATCTGGAATTTGGAAATGGCTGGCTTTAGATCTTAAGTCCTCTAGGCCTCAACCTAGGATTACAAGTGTGAACCACCTGTATCTGTCTTGCTTTTTATTATTTTTTAATAAGAGAATGAGCCATTAGACTACTTGATTAAAAGCTGCCAGACACTTCCCAAGACTGGCCAAAGAAGCAATTGCCCAAGAGGAACTGAACAATAGCCTAGGAATGAGCAGGTTCAAAAGGCAGCTTGGGAGCTGCTACAGTTGCCTCCACAGCCCCAGGCCCCAGTCGGCAGGCCTGAGAGACAGTGTAGTGACTCCTGAAATTCTATGGGAGAGGTAGCAACTGCTACTTGAGTTTGTGCCATTTTCAGGAAAATTCTAAAAGCAGTCCATCAAGCAATTGCCTCTACAGAGATTTTTGTTGTTGTTGTTGGTCATGGGGCTTAAACTCTGGGCCTGGGCATTGTCCCTCAGCTCTTCAGCTCAAGGCTAGCACTCTACAACTTGAGCCACAGTGACACTTCTGGTTTTCTGGAGATAAGAGTTTTATGGACTTTCCTGCCAGACTGGCTTTGACAGCAATCCTCAGATCTCAGCCTCTTGAGTAACTAGGATTGAGTAACTATAGCCACCGACGTCTGGCTATCTACAGGGATTTCTTAAGCTGTCACCAGCAAAACTGAAATTGTTTTCAAACTCTTCAGCTGTTGAGAGAGACTTATTTAGCCACCAACACCTGAAGGAAACTTTGATCAGCTGTGGATAACACAAGAGACTTGTCCAGCAGAAGAGAAGTACTGCCCCAGTTCCAGGTTGAAATGAATTTTAGGATACCTACTTGGTATCCTTCAGAAAACTGGTTAAGGTGAGATGTCCCCTCTCCACCACCATTTAATCATATGTTGGGTTGAGTTTGAATGTAAGAAACAGTTTGCTTTCTCCTACCTAAAAGAATCTCTAATCACAGGAACAAAGTTATAAGGGCAGTAAGTACCTCCAATTAACCCAAATTTTTCTGTGTTTCTTTTCTTTTTCTTTTGGTCAGTCGTGGGGCTTGAACTCTGGGCCTGGGCATTATCTGAGCTCTTCAGCTCAAGGGGAGTGCTCTATCACTTGCGCCACAGTGCCACCTCCGATTTTCTGGTTGTTAATTAGCCAGCCTGGGCTGGCTTTGAACTGAGATCCTCAGATCTCAGTCTCCAGAGTAGCTAGGATTACAGGCATGTGACACTGACACCCAGTTTCTCTGTGTTTCAAAAAGTAGTAATTAATCAATTCCAAATCTCAATTTGAATACATCACAGACTATACTTCAAATCAACTCTGAAGTGACATTGTTAGAATCTGCAATTATAACAAGTACTCCAGGTCATTCTGTGGTGTTCACTGCAGTTAGGTAAACACTGACTATAATCAGAACATGTTCTTTGCCAAGAATTTCAACTTCTTTTCATGAATTAATCTGATCATGATAAAAGCAATTAGAAAACACCTTACCTTTTTCCTTAATCGAGCAGCATTTACCAATTCACCATTATGTGCCACAGCTATTTTCCCATGAAGTGTTTCAACAACAAAGGGCTGACAATTTTCTAATTCACACTTTCCTGTAGTGGCGTATCTCGTATGTCCAATTCCAAGATTTGAAACATATAATTTCTTTAAGTTGTCTTCAGTAAAAACATGATTTACAAGACCCATTCCCTTGAGAAACAGAAGTCAAAGTGCATCTTAGAAGATAAGAGTTATGAAATGAAACCCTTTTGTACAAATAAATAAACAAATAAAAACAGAGCTAATATGGCTAGTAACTAAAGCCTTTCTGCTCAGGCAATACAAATTAGACAACATAGTTCACTTTCTCTATGCTTCAGAATTCTCATCTTAAAGAATCAAGACAAGGAAAGGGGGAAGAGAAAAATAAGAAGGGTACAGGTATGGGCAGGGAATGAAAACCTAATTTTAAGACTTATAAGGCATTTATTTCAAAAATGTATTGAAATTCACATAAAATTAAAATACAGTAGATTTAGAATGTTTGTAATGTTGAAATATTTATGTTTTTTGACATTTTGCTTAAATAGAAATGAGACACAGCTGTACTATGTGGCCCTCAAGGGTCTGGATCTTATTATCATCCTTCCTCTTCCTCCCTAGGGCTGGGATTACAGGCATTACCACCATCACACCAATCTTGTACTTTATGACATTTTCTTATTAACACAAGAAGAATATATGTACTAGGCAATAAAAGTTGTCAAATAGTACTGTGCGTTAAAAAATCAAAACATCTTCAAGTACTTAAATTTTTTATTGAAGTCAGTAAACAAGAATTTCATTCTAATTTGACAAACTTCAATATTATATAGAGTTGGAAAGGGACAATCTAAATACTATTAATTTGAATTGCAAATTAATCACTCATAACTAATGAAAGTCATCTTTATCATCAAAAATTTCAACATTCAGGTCCAGCACTGGTGGCTCATGCCTGTAATTCTAACTACTCAGGAGACTGAGGAGTGAGGTTCGAAGCCAACCCAAATGGACAAATCCAGAAGACTCTCCAAATAACCAGCAAAAAGCTCAAAGTGGAACTGTAGTTCAAGTGGCAGAGGACCAGCTCTGCATGAAAAAAACTAAGGGGAAACTTCAAGTCGTGAGTTCAAGCCCCAGTTAGACACCAAAAACTAAACAGACAAAATTGTTTTCAGTATTCAAATTTACCTTATGTACTTTGAATGTTGGCACTGAATTCCCATCACTGGTCACAATTCCAGCACTCTCCTGACCCCTGTGAATATACAAAAACACCAATTAAGTGTGCCCAATTGATCACCTTCTTCAGCACATTATCAAGCATACCTTTCTCCAGAGATTCAGAAAGAGTCTGAAAACACATTACATGTATCAGTACTAGCAATGATGCAATTGCTTGTAACAGGAATTCTAATACCAGTTACTGCCCTAAGCTTTTCGTTCTTTCTTTTTTTCTTTTTGTCAGTCGTGGGCCTGAACTCTGGGCCTGGGCATTGTCCCTAAGCCCTTCAGCTCAAAGCTAGTGCTCTATCACTTGAGCCACAGTGCCACTTCTGGCCTTTTCTGTTTTATGTGGTGCTGAGGAATCGAACCCAGGGCCTCATGCATGCAAGGCAAGCACTCTATCACTAAGCCACCTTCCCAGCCCCCCTAAGCTTTTCTTTTTTTTTGGGGGGGGGTCTGGTCATGGGGCCTAAACTCTGGGCCTGGGCGCTGTCCCTCAGCTCTTCAGCTCAAGGCTAGCGCTTTACCACTTGAGCCACAGCGCCACTTCCGGCTTTTTTCTTTTTACTTATGGTGCTGAGGAATCAAACCCAGGGCCTCAGGCATGCAAGGCAAGTGCTCTACCACTGAGCCACCTTCCCAGCCCATCCCCTAAGCTTTTCTTTACATAAAAAAAAGTACCTTGGGGCTGGGAAGGTGGCTCAGTGGTAAAGTGCTTGCCTTGCATGCATGAGGCCCTGGGTTCGGTTCCCCAGCACCACATGAGCAAAAAGAAAAAAAGCTGGAAGTGGCGCTGTGGCTCAAGTGGTAGAGCGTTAGCCTTGAGCTGAGGGACAGTGCCCAGGCCCAGAGTTCAGGCCCCATGACTGGACCCCTCTCCCCGAAAAAAAGGAACCTTGTCTTCATAACAAGTGATATGACTATCATTCCTATTTCATGCATAAGCACACTAAGGAAAGAAGCCAAAGTAAGTTTCCCAGTGCCGCACAAGGTGATACTGCCAGAATTATAAACACAGGCAATCCAGCTATAGAATTTGTGCTTCTTGGCAAATGAGGCTGTTAGGCAAATGAGGCTGTGGGACTTAAGGTCATGTTTCCCCAGTATTACCCCAAAGAGTAGGGAGATCAGGTTGATATGGAGAAGAAACTCAAGCAAAATTTTCTCCAACAAATACTTGTAACAGTAATGCTCAGTCTAGCCTGCACCATTAGGTACACACAAGAGTTAAATTCTTGGGGGTAGTGGTGATGGTGTTTGTTCTTGCTCTGGATTTTAAAAAATTCTAGTGTTGGGGGTAGTGATGGTGTTTATTCTTCCTTTGGGCTTTATCCTCTTCTGGTGGGGAGAGGTAAAGGCAGGAGGCAGAAAGGGAGAGAAAGTAGGAGGGCTAACAAATGCAATAATGCTATTTAGTAGACACTATGTAGAAATTAACCTATGTAACTCTGGGCAGGGATAGGATAGAGAAACCGGGAGAAAGTAAAGGGTGACATTGTACAAAAGAAGAAAGTAAGGTACTCATTACTTGACTGTTGAAATGGTAGCCCCTGTGTACAACACAATAATAACAACAATATTTTTTTGTTTTAAAAAAGGTTTAGGGGCTGGGAAGGTGGCTCAGTGGTAGAGTGTTTGCCTTGCATGCATGAGGCCCTGGGTTCAATTCCTCAGCACCACACAAGCAGAAAAAGCCAGAAGTGGTGCTATGGCTCAAGTGGTAGAGCGCTAGCCTTGAGCTGAAAAGTTGAAGGACAGCGCCCAGGCTGAGTTCAGGCCCCACGACTGGCAAAAATATAAATAAAAATAAAATAAAAAGTAAAATTAAAAAAGGTTTAAGTAAAAGGCTCCAAGTATTCAATAACTTAACAGTTCTGAGCAAATTCTAAAAATAGTAGATGATTATTGACAAATTTTTGTTCCAGGGTAGAAATAAAAGCCAAACCTCAGAGCTGAGGGTATGGCTCAAATGGTGGATCCACTTAGCAAGCATAGCACAAGGTCTCTGTCTCTGTTTCTCTGTTTGTCTCTCTCTCTCTCTCTCTCTCTCACACACACACACACCACCACCACCACCACCAACCATATGCATAATACTACATTCTCTATGAGACTAAATAGTGCTTGGAATTTACTTAGTGACATGATGTGGTCTTTATATTCATCGATGCTAGAAAACCAATTGATTTATGTCAGAGAAAAGTGAAAGCATTAGCTATATATCTCAACAGCACAATGTAAAACATATAGCTCTTATTATATCTGCTCTAAAACTAAAAGAACCTCTGCCAACCATTTCTAAACAATTTTTGAAAATCAACAACCACAGCAATTATGTAAGAAAGCAAATACAGAAAAAAAAGGGCTATCTCTCCCTTTTTCCTCATCAGTATAAATTTTCCTTAAAGCTGAAAATAACAAGATCAGCAATTATGTAGATTCAGGCTTCTTTAATCACAAAGCCTGTTTATTTGGCAGTTTCTCAAGTTACTCCCACAGGAAGCTTGAACCAGTTAAACTAGATCCTTTCAGGCTCTCAGGAGCTTATTGACAACCAGCTGTCTGGTTTCCTAGGAAACAAAACTGTTGGCTAGAAATAGTGAATCATTTCCAGGTCACTTTCAACATGGAGAGTGGAGCAGGGAAGCACTGGACTGAGGAGGAGGTTCAAGCTTTATTAGGTGTCTGGGCAGAAAGAAATATACGAAAGCAACTTTATGGAACACTGAGAAATAAAGGAATATTTATTTACATTGCTAAAAGATTGCAATCATTAGGAGTATACAGAGATTGGAAACAGTGCCGGGCAAAGTACAAAAACCTCAAATATGAATACAGAACAGTTAAACATGCCTACAACTCTGGCGACAGCTCTAAGACTATGAAGTTCTACCATGATTTGGATGCAATCCTGGGGCATGGATCTTCTACACAATTAACAGACAACCAGGCTCCAAGTGGCCGTCGGTCCCTGGCAATGCTGAGCCCAAGCACAACCCCAGACACCACTAAAGGTAAAAAAGTATTCATTGTTTTTGTCTGTTTTTCTTTTGTTTTACAATGTTACTGTAACAAAAGCATTCAGGACTTCTGAGTACATTTGAGAAATATAGCCTGAACTATCAGATTAAAAAAAACAAACCCAACTTAAATTTTGTTGCACAAGATGAGAATTTTTAAAAAGATGGTGAATACTTTGCACATTTATACAATACGGAACAAAGCTCATTAAAATGGTATTACCTGTGTATTGTGTTTCAGATGATTTGAAAGATGGGTTGGGTTCAAGAAATTTAGGTTAAGAGTGGCCAAAAGGGGGGAAATACCAAAAATGCTGCTAAGTGGTTATTTTCCCCATAACTCCATACAAGATAAAAAGCCTTCTCTATTTTAGTATCACTATTTTTCTAAATTTATAAATAAAAATACTAAATTTCCCAAAGGGCTCCTAGGAATTAGGATTCCCCAGGAAATTCTATACTGGAAATAAAAATGAGATCACCTACAAGAAAGATACAAAAAGGAGACCCATTTTTCTGGGAGAAATTCAATCTCTATTTGTGTATTTCTCTACTTTCTTTTCAACTTTTCTATCTATAAGTTGTAGCACATTTTATTAGCAAGGTAGAGACAGATTAACAATTTCTCATCAGTTCTGTTCAAAATTAAATGAGCTCATTTTTTCCATTTCTCTGTATAGTATGTTTTAACGTGGCTGAGCACTAGCTGGGTAGTGGTGGCTAGGGACACTGGTAAAGTAACAGTCTTTTGGATGTGATGCTCCTAGAGTTTCCCTCCTGGCTCACTAGCCCTGTAGTATTTCAGAAAACATCTTTTCTTTCCCTTTTGGCCAACTTACAAATTTTGCCACCTAGGTGGGAAAATAGAAAATTGAATTTTTGAAATCTACCACCAGCCCAAAGTATGTTAACCTGGTAAAACTCTTGCAGGTTGGGTTGTGCATCCCAGACCTCATTTTTCTTTCATAAATAGAATTTGGATTTCTCAGTCTTTTTATAGGCCTGGCAAATTTGTATTATCATACAGCCTTGTTACGTACTATATCTAAAGAACTAAAATTCATGAGAGGGCTTTCCACTTTGTTGTGGCTGGGATAACAGACATGTATCAACTGCACTTGGTCGCTGAGTGAAACGGATGCTGGATGCAAACTGTGATCCTCTGATTTCTGCCTTTCAAGTAGCTACAATACCTAGTTTAAGACACCACACACACTCTTACAAGATGCTATTTTAAGAGCAGAGCTATTCAAGTACCACTGTCTGTTTGTACCACGTACAAAGCATGGGCATACACACATCCAGTGATGTGAAGCTGCAAAAAGGATCATAAGAGAAAATTACAAGTAGTATATATACTCAAAGTACTAAATACAATGGAGTTTAAGAAGATAAACAAAACAGCTAAATGAATGTTGGATTGGCTGAACTGCATCTTTTTTTTTGGGGGGGGGGTCCGGTCATGGGGCCTGAAATCTGGGCCTGGGCGCTGTCCCTCAGCTCTTCAGCTCAAGGCTAGCGCTCTACCACTTGAGCCACAGCATCACTTCTGGCTTTTTTCTTTTTGCTTATGTGGTGCTGAGGAATCGAACCCAGGGCCTCAGGCATGCAAGGCAAGCACTCTATCACTGAGCCACCTTCTCAGCCCCATGAACTGCATCTTTACAGCTCAAAAATAAAACATTTGGTTTAAAAAAAAGTACCCCACTTAAAATACCTTATAGCATTTGAGACACTGCACCAGATTCTGGGGAAGCTTCACAAACATTAACCATGCTAAACAATAATTACAGTACTTTACTTAGGTAATCACTCAAGATGCTAACATTTAAATGCTGTCAATACTGGCTAATAAGTCACTCAGTTTTTGAAAGTCCCTGATTTTAACCAAAGGCTGGTCTCATGAAACTGCAGAAGCTCAAACCTCTTCCCCCAGGACCCCAAATTCCTTAGCTTCATCACTAGCAGAGGGCCTGTATCAGCAATTTAACTAGGCATATGTTTCCCAAAC